AAATTTTTTTTTTGCATCGAGCGTTTTTCGACATGCCTTAAATTACTTTATCAGATATGTGCACACTAAAGTATTATTAAATGCATATGAATTTAATTACTGTCTGTCGTTTTGTTACTTATGAAATAATTTTCACTTTAATTAAAAAAGTACGTTCCAAACCCATTTACTTATTATTTATTATATGGTAGCAGAGCTTCTCAAACCATATTGATGCAATTTTTTCATGTTAAGTCATGGAAAAATAATAAATATCTAAATCCCGGGACTGATACCAGCATCCCGGGATTGAACCAACGACATCCCGAAAATCCCGGGATCGCAAAAATCGAAAAACTTAACATCTTTAGTATGTATATAGTAAATTGATTTTAATGCCATGTCTTCATCGGGTAGAAGTTGTCTCAATGAGCCAAATGCAAAATACATGCTACATTTGTGGTGAATACACAACTTAAAGGATCCGAAAACCTCTAAGAAATTTTATAAAAAATTTTATTTTTCGTACTCCAAATCCAAAATTTTTGATGAATACAATCCATGGATACACCAAACTGTTTGTAAACTGTGCTGTGAACACTTGAAACGGTGCACAGTAGTCTGGCAGGCAATGTTTTACGCGAAAAAGGCATATTTTAAAACTTGATAAATTAAATGGAATAGAGCCACTCTTATTCAGAAATGTCCAGCGAACTAAAAACTGAATGGTATTTTTCATATCTGCTGAGCAAGCCGTTCAGTTCATTTAATTCATCGAATTTGATCGTCGCATATTCTAACAGCTATGAGTTGATAGCTTTTTTCAATCTTTGTGTGGAAGCTTCAAATTGTAATAGTAATTACTGATTTGGTGTTACTTCTTAAATACGGAGAGTTATGATTTATTTAATATTACAGAATACGAATTTGTTGCCAAATTATGTATACCTTAATAACACAGATTATTTTTCAAGATATATTTTTTTTAAGGTATAACTAATTAATAGGGCCGAGTAGGATCTTCATTCCTTTACTACAAAGTAGTGAAAGGGGTCCTTTAAGCATCTACTTGCGCCAAAAAGGGTGGCGCCTATTTTTATATTGCTAGACCAACTTCCGAAGCTGTTCCAAATAACATAAAGTGTATTATAATAATAAATATTAATATAATTAAGTCTATATTTAGCGTTATATGATTTATAAGATGTGTCTTAACAAAGCTGAAGTCAAATTTCGAAGATCCAATAACGAACGCAATATGGCGTCCAAGAATTAAAAAAAATTAATGAATTTTCATGAAATTTGGTATTTAGAGCTTCTTAAGTTCGCTAATTACAAATTTCAAGCTAGTTATTGAAAATTCAAAATGAAAGATCCAATATGGCGTCCGAAATTTCCAACAATCCAAACCTGAATAACTTTATTTAAAAATGAAAAACTGAAGTTTTGGTAATGACGGATTTCGTATAAAATTAAAAAAAAATCTTAAAAAAACTGTTGAACCTAGATCAAATTGTTTGGGATGAACATATAGCCGACGGCCCCAACTATTCCTAATTTTTAAATATAACTTCATATTTTGATCATAAATTCATTTTAGATATGATCTTTCGTATATAATAAATAAAATTTTGCTAAACAAATATATTGTGTTACTCAACTTAAAATTACAGTTGATTTCAAAGTTGTCAACGGATGACTATGATACAGAACTCGAAATCAGTGAGCCTTAAAACAAAGTACGTTTAATTCTTGGGAAATTGTCTTTATTTCTAGAGAAGTTGACTCCCCCTTCGACAATTGTAAACTCATCAGTAGCATGTTAAAAAATATTTGCTTATTTTTCGAAAACTTAACAGTTTATTTGACAGCTGTCAACTCTAAAAGTGTTAATTTGACACAAAATTTGTGATCAGGATGTCTAACCACATAATCAGTGGCATTTTTATAAATATCGTCTGATTTGAAGAAAAATTAGCTGTCGACTGTCAAACTGTTAATGTGACATACAATTCGTGACTGACGTGCCAAAAACGTAATAAGTAGTATCTTTAAAAAGATTTTTTTTATTTTAGAGAAATTAGCAGTTGATTTGACAGCTGTCAACTGTCAAACTAAAAATTTATGGCATATTTGGATTCAGCATTTTTATTATAATCGTAACATCCCTTCTAATTATTTGCGTAAAACATATCTTCTCCGACTACTGTGCGGTATCTCAAATAACAGAAAAATCACTTTGATGACTGTTTTTTCTGCTGTTCCAATGTTCGTTCTGTGCAATGGGGTCTACAGAGACGTATTTCCAAATGGCAGTTACAGTTTGCACGGCTATACCCAATCCCGACTCTGGCGAACGCCAGAAAGAAATGGAGGTTGAAGGGCCCACTGAAGTCTGCAGCGTCTGAAGATTTGGCCCGCTATATAAACATGTATTTGGTTTAGAAACCACCGCTCCCAGCAATGGGTTGTGCGGTGGGTTTGGGACCCGCTACGCCAAACCTCCAAAATCGCTTAGGTGGTTACAGCGCCAAATAAGGAGCATGTACGTTCAAAAATTACACAGGCCGATAAAATAGACCGATCTCCTTACCCAGAAACCAGACTACACTTTCCCGAAGGTTTTCGGTGCGCTGAATTCAAATCTGGCCACAGAATTGCTCTATCACATCAGGATTTTGAGATATTCTAACCTATAAATGCAAAAAATGCCGTTTTTGCCATTTTTGAAGTTGTGTATGCAAGCCAGAGTAATTTTTCTCAAAAAAAAAACGAAAAGGGTGTTAAAGTACAAGTATTTCTCTTTGAAATGGCGTTGAGTTTGCTCCAAGATCTTTTCGCTTCACTGGGATATTTCGATTTTAAATTTACGGATTTTGCAAAACAAAAACTGCTGCGGATAGTACACATGGCCACTATGTTACTTACATGATTTTCAAGATATAGAAAAATTGGATTGGAAAAACGGCATTTAGTGCATTTATAGGTTAGAATATCTCAAAATCCTGAAATCTGTGAGCTTAAAATTGTAACATCTCAGCGAAGCAAAAAGATATTTGGGCAAACTCTACGCCATTTCAAAGAGAAAGACTTGTTTTTTAACACCTTTTATGTATTTTCTTTGAGAAACACTACTCTGGCTTGCATACACAACTTCAAAAATGGGCAAAAACGGCATTTTTTGCACTTATAGGTTAGAATATCTCAAAATCCTTCGGGAAAGCATAGTCTGGTTTCTGGGTAAAAATATTGTCGGCCTGTGTTATCTAGCCACACTTAAACCCAAAAACATGGAAAACTTAAACAGTTTTATATAAGTTTTGAAAATTTAAAAACAAGTTTGATGGTTTTTCCCAATTGTAGAGAATACCACTAACTAATACTAATATAGAACGACCCTAACATTTTCGAATTCTTAATTAGCGATTAAAAAGCTAACCTCGGTCCTTTAATTAACTTCATACTTTGTAGTGCTTTCAGTTTACATTTACATTGACTACTAACTTTTTTAGTAAAGCTCCTCTGCACCAAAACCCCTGTTGACCAGTGTGATGTGTTTTTAGGTTTATTGCTCATATTTGCATCCACTGGTAAAAGCGTATTACAACTGTCTGAACATACATACGCATGTGTATTTTAGGGTGGTCTAATAAAAGTAAAGTCGGAGTTTTAATGCTCTCACCTCCTAGGATGGTTATATATCGAAAAAATATACCCCTGGTTATTTATTTAAAATTAAAGTCGCTTTTTATGCTCTTACCCTCTAGGATTGTTCTACACCGAAAAAATATACCCTAATTTTTATTTTGTTTTTCAAATCAAAAACTATTTAGAGGCCGCTCAAAGCGCTTAAAGTTTTTCATGTATTTTATTTGGGAAAAAATACCTTTTCGTAGAAATGGTATAGGATTCTTGAAAATCAATATTTTTAGATCGGTAAGCTCTGGTTCTCTTCAGGAGACTTCCAGTAATAATACCCATTTATTTATCTAACCATTTTTTATTGCATTTCCTGAAAAAATGGTGAAATAAACAATTGGGTGTGGGGAATCTTCTGAAAAAAAAACAGAGTTTTCCGATTGAAAAATTTTGATTTTGAATAATTCTATACCATTTCTACGAAAAGTTGTTTTTTCCCATATAAAATTCATAGAAAACTTTTAACGCTTTGAGCGACCTCTAAATATTTTTTGATCTGAAAAAAAAAAATAAAAATTGGGTTATATTTCTTCGGTATAGAACAATCCTAGAGGGTAAGAGCATAAGAAGCGACTTTAATTTTCCGCATGCATTTTTGGACCACGGTAGTGTATATACACACATATATATGTAGTAAGAATTTATACTTATAACTATAACTATGTATGTACGTACATTGTCATTAAAAGTTACAATAGTTGCAGGTAGAATGTTGATATATGCATGTACGTTAAAAACGTTATACGTAGTTATTTAAAAGTAAATTTGTAAGGATTTTCAATTTAGAATCGAAAGCACAGGTAACAGATTTGCATTATAGTTCAACACTTAGCTAAAATTTACCTACTATATATTAGTAGTCGGTGAGATTTCATACTAAATATTACAAACATGAATACAATATAAAACTTATATTCTCAAAACATCCAGTGATGCTTTCAAACGGTAGGTTCTTCATATTTTTTACTGTTTGTAATTTTTACTTAAACATATCCATGTACGTTGACAACTTGACTTTTTGAAGTAGCCATTATTTCGAGATCCTTACAGGACATGTAAATTCTCACAGCTTTTTGATTTGGAAATATCGCTGAGACATATTTTTTGCAGTATTTCCTTAGCCAAATGTAGAGATATGTGTGTACGGGAAGTTTTCAGTTTCGTTGAGGTAACTTTCTTTTCACGTAATTCCTTTAAACGCATCTGCAATAAAATTTTTTTTTTTTAATTTTTTAATAAATAAATTGCATTAGCATATATTTGTATAATTGGTGTGCCTAGTTTGCATAACTCATTAAAAACAAATGCGCTCGATTAGCTCTATAACAACATCCCATGTTTTAGGACGATAACTTAATCAAATGGTTTTTAGAATGTACGGTTTAATGTTTATATGTATAAGTATGTGTAATGGTGTTTCAGCAAATCCAGCTCGCTGAATTTAAAACCTATAAACATTAATACAAATAAATAAAACACACACGCAGCTAAGGGAAAAAGCCTTAGCTCAAAAACCCCTTTTTATTCTTTTACAAGTCTAGCTCACCGCGTACACGACCAATACTCACTAGCAAACAATACATAATAATTTTTTTTACATTTGTGCGCGAAACAAAAGGAAACCCATTAACCGAAGTTTGTTTTACTAATATCGTGAACATTTGAGTATGTTATGAATTAAAAAGGTTATGTCGCTACGAATTTTACAAACTGGTATACTGTATTTCGAAAGTAATGGAACAGTTTAAAACGTACTTACAATGAAACCCGTCAGAACCCGAATCTGTAAGGGACGGAACTTGTAATAACCGCAAAAATTAAATTTTTGGGGTTTCTACTTGGATGTAACTAGTACCGAAAGAATGTAAAAATACCTGATAACTACAGCGGTTACAATGATTCAAGAAAAAATTATGTTTACGCTCATTAAACGCGCTTTGAAAACTAAAATATAGATATGTATATCTCAAATATGCATTATATGTCTACAGCGTCTCGGAAATACAGTGCACTAGCTAAGCTTTCCGATTCTAGGAATTGCCATAAAAACCGAATTATTTAAATAGCTATAATAAAAAAATTCCTCTATCAAACCCCTTATGGTGCAGTGATTTTCATGCTATTACTACAGAACAAATCGACACCTGAGTCTAAGATCGACCTATCTCGGCAGCCAGTTCGAAAACGCCCTATCTTAGAAAACTTTTCAAGAACGCCATATTTTAGAATTTCGTTGAAGAACGCTCTATCTCAGAATTTGATTGAAGAACGCCATATCTCAGAATTCGTTTCAAAAACGCCCTATCTCAGCACATTTTCAATGTATTTTCATTTGTGATAGGCCGTTTTTGAACCGAATTCTGAGATAGGTTGTTCTTCAAGAAAATTTTCGGATAGGGTGTTTTTCAATAAAATTCAGAAATAGGGAGTTCTTGAAAAGTTTTCTGAAATAGGGTGTTTTCGGTCTGGCATCCGAGATAGGTCGATCTTCCACTCAGGTGTCGAAATGCACTTTAAGTGAAACCTTAGCCGTTATTTGTGCAACAACCAAAATTTTTGGATGATAATGGGCAAGTCGAAGTTCGAATTCGTAGAATTAGATCAGTTTCGAAATTAAAATGTTTCGAAAGCGGTTACACTTTACGAAGGTGGAGCTTGCCCTCCCCCGCTTTCGCTCGGCCAAAAACGTAGAAGATTTTAAAATTTTTATTTTTTAACATATATATGGACATACATATGTATGTGTTTAAGTGACTTGCGCTCACTTAAAGTATTTCCATGACTTGCGTTCATAACGACTTGCGTTCGCTTGAAATTTCTTGCATAACTTGCGTTCATGCATCCCTGTTCTAATTTTACACTACAAGCAAGAAGTTCGACAAGTGCACGGGAATTGCTCCCCAGGATTGCTCATCGGCACACTGGGCCACTTCCAGTGTGTCCTATAAATGCAACCGCCGCTTTGTCATCTTTCTCTTTTTTTCATTGACGTCCAGCAGGATTGCAGTATATCGTTTCAACCACCGAAGGATATCCGCTTATCAGGACCTCTACGCATCGTACTATTAATTCGCATTATTATTTTAGTAATTTGCGTTCTTGTACTTTTCATTTTCATAAACTCATTCGCTTCACGAATTTTCTATCATTGTTAAATATTAATTCGTTTATTCAATCTGTTATTTAAAATCAATCATACTTTCCCTTTATTATCATTAACATTTTCTATATACATATTATTGTTACTCAAATTCACAATCAGACATTAGAGTCCTGCCATACATGCATAAGCATTCAATCATAATAATAACAATAATAATAATAGATTGGCGCTTACACATATGTTAGTGTTTGGCCGAGCTTCTCCTCCGACTTGTGGCGTGCATCTTGATATTGTCACACAAAGCGGAGGGACCTACAGTTTTACGCCGACTCCGAACAGATATACACTCGGAGGTTTGCCATTGCCTGCCGACGGACGACCGCTGTTAAGAAAAAACCTTTTTTCTATATTTTTTGCGATGTTGCTTTGACAAGGGTTTGAACCCGGGTGCTGCGGAGTGGAAGCGCGCACTGCTTACCACTACACCACAGCGGCCGTAAGCATTCAATCATACTTTCATAATTTTCTTGAATTGTAAATTTACTTATTGTTTATAAACGCTATTGAGCCATTCTTTTAAGTCGGACGGATTTCGTAAAAAAAAATTATGTCATGTCTCCCTATTACGTGCTTGCGACCAAAATGGGGAGTAATTTTTCGGTAACCGTTACTTTCCAGCGGCATTCCCATAAGCGAACCGGCAACGTTCCATTGACGTTATGGTTACGTAGTACCGTAGTACCACCTCATCCAAATACTGTCCAGTGACGATTTTGTAGTTTGTGTCTGCACTCTAAATCCACATGCTAATATTGCGGAAGAACAGTCGCTTTATTTTAAAAGTCTTAGGGAAAATTTAGACGAAGGAGAAGTGATCGTACAGTGTGATTTTGCAGAAAATTATATAAAGTTTTGTTGTCTAAAATGCCGCCCAAGCTTTCCATATTTATACCCGAGCGCAGTTGTTCAAAAGGGTATATTAATTTTGTTCACATAACGGTTGTTTGTAACAGCCAAAACGAATCGAGATAGATATAGACAAATGAATACATAAATGCTCAGAATGAATAGAGAAATCGATTAAGCCATGTCTGTCTGTCCGTCCGTCCGAGTACACGATAACTCGAGAAAAAATTTAGATATCTCAACGAAATTTGGTATGTAGGTTTCTGTTAATCCAAGGTAGGTTGGTATTGAAAATGGGCGAAATCGGACTGTAACCACGCCCACTTCCCATATAACGGTAATTTCCAGAAATACGAAAACTGCGATATTTTAGTAACTACTGAAGATAATTCACTCAAAATTGATATTTACAACAATTTTCCGACGAAAAATAAGAATATTATAAATTTTTGGAAAATGGGCGTAGCCACGCCCACTTATGGTTACATGTGTATATCTTGGTAACCGTTGCACCAATTTCTGCCAAACTTAGCACAGTTGTTGGCCCTGGTACAGCATACTAAATGGCCGAAAATTTTAAAAATCGGACAATAACCNTTTTTAAAATCGGACAATAACCACGCCCACATCCCATATAACGGTAATTTAGAGAAATACAAAATCTTCGATAAATCAGTAAATATTGAAGCTAATTTATTCAAAATTGATGCTCGCAACAATTCTTTACAAAGAAATACGTTTATGGTAAAGTTTTGGAAAATGGGAGTGGCACCGCCCACTTATGATCACATATATGTACATCGGTAACCGTTCTATCAATTTGTACCAAACTCGGTATTTTTATTGTGCTTGCCATATAAAAGCAAAACGTTGAAAATTATTGAAATCGGACTAAAATTACGGCCGCTTTTCATACAACGGTAACTTTCAGAAATGCTTGAAACTGCAATATTTCGAAATTTAAGGACGCTAATTTACTCAAAATTGATACACTAGCGGTAGGTTTCGGAAAGATGAAAAACATATATTTAATACTTGCGCCGGGTATTTAATGTTCGACTCCACCCGAACTTAGACTTTCTTACTTGTTTTAATTATTTTTCAATACGAAAAAACATAATTTTAATTTTTACTATTATTTGGAAGCCCACAAATCGAAAAGTAAAAATCATATAAAGAAAAAAAAATTTCCAACATATATCGTGTATATAAATTTAAAAATCACCGCAATTTAAAATTTTTAGAGTTTTGAATTTCTTGAAGTTTCCCATTTTAAATAACTTGAGTGGAATTCCAAAACTTTCAAAACTTTGTGAATTTGAGAAATTTTAATAAATCACAATAATTAAATATAATGATGAATACTAAATTTCTAAAAATTCTTTATTTCTAATATTTTTTCTAAGTAAAAGTTTCGAATATAAAAAATTGATCAAACGAAATTAAAAGTTTTCGAATGTTGAAAATATTTTCATATTTCGTCGTTTTTGAAAGTTTAAAAAATTTTCGTAATTCTTGAAGATTCAAAAAACATTTGGACGTTGATGTTTTCAAAATTTTCAAAAAATTTAAAATTATCAAACTTTGTTATATCAATACAAAATTTTGGAAAAGTGGGAAAATTTTGTAATTTTTCAGAAATGTTAATATCTTTTAGAATTTTAGGAATTTTCTGTTTTTTACACACAAGTACCATGAACATAAGAATTTTTCGACAATTTGTGATGTTTCACATTTTTACATTTTAGGATAAAAAAGTCTCAAAATTTTGGAAATTTTGGAAATTATCCTAAAAATAAGAAATCGCAAGAAATTTAATAATATTAATTTTCGTTGTTTTCTGAACCTGTGAAAATAATAATAATTCGAAAATATAACAAAAAAAGTAAAAATTGAAAATCAAGTACATAATTTCAAAATTTTGAAAATTCAGTGAATTCGAAAAACTGATAGGCCTACTTAAATAACATAATACTTCGAGCTTAGCACACAGCTAAAATTTCAAACTCAAGCGAAATTTGACACACTTTTTCCATGAATTAAAATATTCAAAAGCATCCATTCATTAGGTTTGTTCCCCAAGCTTCTCGAAGTCACTTCGAGTTACATATACGCGCTCCGCAAGTAAGTTTTCGAGTTTCTTTGATATACGCTCACAGTTTGAATTTGTTCGAGTTTTTCTACAAGTAGCTTG